TGCTCTTAAGTGTCAAGGGAGTCAGGAAGTAGGAACCAGAGCTATAAAGAAATGTGGTTTAATTGAAATTTCATTCAAGGCAAAGGGACATGAAATCCAAGAACCCACTGTACATAGCTTGTGATTCATCCATGAACCATATAACAAGGTCCTCCATCACCTTAGTGAGTTGCTTCTCCCCTCACCCCCAGGAATGCAGAACCAGGAAGGAATAGCAAACCACAAACCATATTCACCTCATATAACAGTTCAGACATTTTTCTAAGTGATCTGATTTTTAATTCAATTCTGGTTTTCCCCAAATCCATCTTCTTCCTGCCAGGCTTCCTTTGTAGTTGGTTCCCCATAACCACAAGGTTGCCTTTTTAATTGCTGGGAAAGTGAAAGTCTTTCTTAAGAATGTCAAAACCGCCTGTGAGATCACACCAAAAGGTCACTATGGTCAACCTGATGCCTTTAGGAAACCTATGAGCAGATGAGGGAGGCAAGGGCTTTTCATTATGTTCTGGCCTGGTTACAACCTTCGAGTAGATTTCTCAATATGGCATCTTTCAGATGTATTAGACAGCTCCCATCATCCTCAGATAGTTGCTATCCAAGACAGCTGGAAGTATCTAGTTGGGGAAAGCTATGCTCAACACATTGTTTAAGATGTTTCTGAGCTTCATATTCCTGGACCATGTCATCTTTAGAAAATGAATGAATCCTTTTGAATGTGTTCATCCATTGGCTTACTGTCTTATCTGAAACCTTTTCATTGTGAATACATGTGCTATGTATTTCTTTGTTTTCCAGGGCTATGAGTCTAAACAGCAGACTTTGGCACAATGAGTAAGTAAAATTTCTTTTTTCATCTGTGGTTACAAATGGAGCTCAGCTCTGACTCTACCTGGCCAAGCAGATCCTCTCAATTCACCATCTTAGTGATTGGAGAGAATTTGAAGAACAACTATCTGGACTTCCTTTTAGAGGCCAGGACCAACCTTCAAAGTTGTTTTGTAGGTAAAGGATCTTAAAAGACTAGGTGATGAGGAAGTCCTTATTTTCGTTTTATGTCAACATTTCATTTCCCCCCTCTTTTTTTCTTTTCTTTTTGCACGTTTTAAACTTTCATGGGGCAGCAGCTGTTTGACCCACAGTTGCACCAGTCTTCCTTCCCACAGAATATTTGATACTTTGGTTTGGAAAGTATGAATGAGAACTTAACATAAATGGGAAACAGGAAATAGAAGATATTGTTCCCTTCCCACTGGAATTGTTTTCCCTTTTCTTCCCCTCCAAATCATTCCCTCCTCATTTGCTCACATGATTTCACTTTTCATTTCATGTAAAAGTTGAATTTACGTTTAGCTAGAGCACATCAGTGTAAGTTAAATATTAAGCTATTAAAATATTAAAATATTCTACTTCATCATAGTGCTTTGATTTTTCATAAAGAATCTCAAAATCTAGAAATGGTGGGAAAATTCTTATTATTCTTATAAAAGCAAGAATGCAACCAGGACTATGAGTCAGTTTTTATATTTGTAAGATTTCAAACTCCTGAGCCAAGTCTGGGGCACAAAACCTGATTTCCCATGTATACTATATCCATGTTATGTAATTTACTGTGCCAATCACTCTGAGGGGAGCTGTTGAAATTGGGAGAGGTCCCTGGAAGATTATCTGTTCAAGTTGGCAGGGGAGAGAAAAGGTACTAAGTGCTCCCAGCAACTTCCAGGGGATCTCTCCTCCAAGAATCTGATGTCAGTTGCCAAGATTTGTTTCCCTCATCTTCAGACCATTATCTACTCATATGTTGTCATATAACAATCTGCATGGAGAAGGTTTGAAGGATGCACTGGACATTTTCAGACTGTTTCCTATTTTGTGTTATATGTGTGGGAGGTCTCAATGACAATTCAGAAACTTCCTGAGATTCAAGATGTTGTTTCCTTCCTCTTACTTGCTTCTTCCGGTTGGCCTCCCCAGTTTCACCTGGAAAGGGATGGAGCACAGGAACTTTGCTATGATACTTCACGGACTCTTTTTTAAACTAAAGACTGTGAAGGCCTCTCATATGTCGGGACAGGTTTAGAGGAGGCTTTCCTTTAGCCCAAGAATGGACACATGGAATTCTTCAGAGAAGGAAGTATAGAAGACCAAGCAAAAGAGAAAAAATTAGGATCTAGGACAGAGTTCAGAGCAAAGAAGCTGTATGTTAAAATGTCAGTCTAAGACATGTCAGTCCAAGACGGGTCAACTGAAGACAGAAATACTGCTGTAGGGAGAATAGCTTCCTTCCTGGAGAAGATCTGTTCCTGCTTTTGCTGGGGCACTAAATGTGGCTTCTCAGTAGCTGAGGAAGTCTCTGGAGAGGAACCTTAGTCAATTGAGGACATCAAAAGAGTGAAGTTTCCAGGAAGTGATGGCAAAGGGAATGAACAGCCATGTTTCCAGGAGATGTAGCTCTATCAGGTTCTCAGCAGGGAGGAAATAATTCTTCAGGAAATTTAAGAAAAGGATCATCACTGTCCTCAGGGACATTTGGCCACAATGCTTTTCAATTCTGAGCCCAGAGCCATACTGTATCTGCTATTTCCCACAGGCCTTCTCTGAGATTGTTTCAGCGTGCAGAAAAATAATATTGTATGAATTTTTATATCTATCTATCTATCTATCTATCTATCTATCTATCTATCTATCTATCTATCT